ATTCCGCCTCCTTTCTCCAACATTCAGTATAGTTGTCCCTGACTAGCTAAGTTCTGCCCTATCAACAGGCCAAGGTAGTTTCTTTATTCACCAATGGTATTCATAGCATACAGAGGGGAATCCCACATCACTCTATCAAAACCCATAGTTCTGGGAAAATCTCTAAATGTACTAACCTTGCTTTTTAGCTTCTGTAGTTCTGTTTATGGCTAAATTGTTCATGTTAACTGAAGTATGTCAACCCAGGATATGATTTTTTTTTTTTTGCTTAAAAGCTAACCCTGAGAAAGGCTTGAGGCCACACTGGGATCCCGAATACCCAGTGTAGTCACAAGCAGGCTAATACAGAGTTTCTATTGTCTTAAACCCATGTTTAAGCAGCAGAAGGCCCACAACAGTGTTGTTTTCACTCTTCACACCACCCCTGGTAGACAGACAGCGTTGACTGCCCCATTTCAGTTCTAGGAGCTCTTCAAGTACTGCTGTGAACCTGGGCTTTTTTTTTTTTTTTAGATTTTATTTTTATTCGTGTGTGTATCCTCAGGGGTTAGAAGAGGGCACTGGGTCTCTGGAGCTGGAGTTATAGGTAATTATGAGCTGCCTGACGTGAGTGCTGGGAACTGAACCCTGGTTCCATGGAAAAGCAACAGAGGTTAAGCTCTCTTAACCTCTGAGCCTGGACTAACAACTCAGGGAGCACCCAGCCTAAAGCAAGACCTCCGGTTCAGACCAAAACCACACTCCTACTGGCCCTGTCCATGTCCCTCTGCAGGCTGCTAAACTCCCCATGCTTCATCACACACTCCATTGGTTCCTGATATCTGACAGCCTCAGCAGCATCCCATGGCTTCCATGATGCCTGTGAATACTGGATAAAGATGCCTCCCTGTCTAAACAGCACAAGTCCACACCAAACTTCAGGGTGCAGGGCTGGTCCATGCAGGAACCAGGGACCTCTCTGCACCCTGTCCTGGATCCAGTATTCCAACATCTTCCAACTTGCTTAGTGCTGTGATTGATATTCTCTCTCTCTCTCTCTCTCTCTCTCTCTCTCTCTCTCTCTCTCATCTTTCTCTATCTATCTACCATCTATCTATCTCTCCCTCTTTCTCTCTCTCTCTCTGTGTGCACATGTGCGTGCATGCACGCATGCATGTGTGTGTGTGTGTGTGTCTGCATGTCTGTTTCTACCTCTGTGTGTATGTGTGTGTGTATGGATGTGCGCACATGCATGCATGCATGTGTGTATGTGTCTGTCTGCCTGTCTGTCTCTCTCTCTCTCTCTCTCTCTCTCTCTCTCTCTCTGTGTGTGTGTGTGTGTGTGTGTGTGTGTGTGTGTCCTGCCTGCAGATAACAAAGGATGCTCACTCAGGAAAGGCAGGAGATGCAGTAAACATAGGCATAACTGAGAGATTAAGACTCAATCAGGCAAGGTTTGAGTCTGAGCACTTAAGAAGATCCCTACCAGATATTCAAGCTCTACTGAAGCCAGTCGGGGGACTCACACCTGTAACCCCAGCACTTAGGAGTCTGAGGAGGACCACACCAAGCCCAAGCCTGTACTTCAGAACGATCATAAAACTTTTGAATTAAAAAACAAAACAAAAAACTCTGATCAGCCTTTCCCACAGTGTGTACAGCCACCAGATGGCAGCAGAGCTGCCCACTTCCAGAACTGACGATCAGATGACCAGGCACGGTAAGGCAAGCCCATCATTGACCTTCAACCCTGTGGAGGGAGGGGTGCACACGCATGCACATATGTACCCACATCCTATGAAAGGAAAGGGACAGACAGACAGACAGGTGAACAGACTGCTGGAGTTGAGTTCCCTTCCTTTGTATGTTTTCTCCTTCCCCCAGCTGCCCTTAACCCTATCCATCCTTGTCACAGGTACCACTGATAAAGGAAGAGTGGCTTCCTTCCCGCTCTGGAGGGGCTCCTAGAGCTGGAGCTAGAACTGGACACAGACACGTGACCCAACAGCACAGTGGTGCCGGCAGGATGTGTGCAGAGACCAAGAAAACACAGAACTGGAGCTGCCTGGAGGCTAGTGTGGGAGGCGCGTGGAAGGGAGCGGCACCTTCTCAGGTGTGTTACTTTCTGGCAAGTCTTGGGAGCAATGTCAACACATAGACCGCCTTTGTTTCCTCCAGTAGGCACGGGGAAGCTACTACAGCACCAGTTTCACTGGGCCGGGACTGGATGATCTGGCCGAGTAGAGACCCGACAGACAGCAGCTTAGAGCTGGGATTTGGCTCTTGTGTTCTCTGACAGCAACTGAAAGCTGAGAAGGTAGACAAGTCATAGAGCTGAGACTTCCAGCCCGTTTGTCAGGAAGCAGACGCCTCCTACCTAGGCCCCAAGGAAAGTTCTGATGTCTCCAGCCCGGTGGCTTGCTTCTAAGTGTAGTCTAGGAAGACCAGGAAGAGTGAGACTTGGTCCCACACCTCTCCTTCCTCTGACCAGGGGGAGGAAGCTTTGCCCAAGAGCTGCCATAGTCACTGAAGCATTAGCTATTTCGTGCACACATTACCCATTCATTCCACATTGCTGAGTGTGAGGGACATAACCTGAAACTCATCTTCCCCACCCGGCACTCCATCCCACATCAGGGACCACTCTAGGTAGAACCCTACAGGCTTTATCAAAACCAGCCACAGACTGCAAGGTCCCCTTCAGAAATAACTGAAGTCAGCATTGCTTCACGCTCCAGCTGTGTACAGTCTGAGTAGATGTTTCCCTTCTTGCCTGACTTTGGTGGGACCTATGTCACCCTGTGAGATCCACACGTTTGGGGTGGAATAGGGGAAAGGATACAAGTCCTATTCCAGGAATCAGAATGAGCTAGGACTGCCCCAAATAGTGGGAGAGCTCGCTGGGCACAGAGCCGCTGGTAGCGGCCAGCCAGCCGGAGATGAGGTGAAAGTGAAAGGTTCCGGCGCCTGGGCACAAGACTTGCAAGCCAAGCAGAGACCTTAGGGAAGCTTGGAAGTATGGAGTAATGGGGAGAATCATCTGGAAGCAGAGGAGACGCAAGAAGGAGGTGGCGGCGGGCGTCGAGCTCGAGTGGAGGCCGGGGGGTGGGGGGGTGGGGGGGGGGGAGAAAGGGCACTAGACCAGATACAGAAGATAGAACAAAAACGTCCTAAGAGCCTAAGAAAGGGACAAAGAGAAACTGGACGGTTGCGGAGAGCTCTTTAAGTGGAAAGCCGAGAACGGGTAGTGGGTAGGGGGGGCCGGTGGTGCGGCCCCGCCCCTGATCACTCGGGACCTCCGCGTCTCCTCCCCGGCAAGGGTGGAGCACTCGCCTCCAGCCCCGCCCCAGGTCCGCAGAGGCCGCCCCTCGGGACCCGTGGTGCGGCCCAGAAGACGGTGGGAGGCCCAGCTGGTGCGTTATCAGCCTCCTCCAGGAGCCAGCCCAAGGCACCGAGCGGCTGACAGTCTGAGATTAGGCCCCGGGAGGGTCATTAAGCTGAGGCCTGGCCCTGGCCCAGCCTCCTTTCCTCCTGATCCAACCAGGCCGGCAGGTGGGAGCTGGCGATAAGGACGGACGAGGGTCTTGGCGGTTCTGGGGTGGGCGCTCGCTCACTCCCAGCCCCTGGTCAGGACCGGAACATGGAGTGGAGGAGGAGGACTGTATGTCAGTGTCAGCCTAGGCCCTGCAGGGGCAATCACCAAGGCTCGCAGGGCAGGGCAGGGCATCCCCGCAGTTGGGAGGTGGAGATGGGCAACAGGGCTTGCTTCGGCCTCTCCTGGCAACATTTCACAGGTGGTTCTGTCGTGCCAGACTGGGAGCATAAAGGGAACTGAACTGAACCCACCTACACTCCCCACCCTCAACAACTTGAAGGAATAGGTGGCAAGGAACGTGACCATCTGCAAGGGGATCCGATCTGCAGCCAAAAGGCCCCAGCCTGGAGCTGGACCAAAGAAGGGATATTTGTGTTTTAAGGGAGAACTAGCCTCTACCATCCTGTCTCTCCTTCAGTGAGAGGGGAAAAAAAAAAGCAGGGCTGCCTGGTCCCCTGACTTTGCTTTCTGCTTTAATCAAGGGATAGTTGAAAAGAATAGGTACACTCTAAACTGGCAGAGATGTGTCAGGCTGCATGAGTTGCAGAAACCCGCAGAGGGCAAATGCCCAAAGCATCATCACAGGGGGAGCCATCAATTCCTTAAAGCTGAAAACCAGAGAAGGAAGGAGACTTGCCCTAGATCACACAGCAAGGCAGAGAGACCTAGAGCAGAAACACTGCTCCCCCTTCTCTGCTCAGCTCTACCTCTATTGCAGGCTGGCTCCTCAACCCCAGAGAGATGGTTTGTGGGTATTCCTTGAGACATTCAGGCAAGCCTTAGACCACAAAGTCATCGCTGTGACCGTGAAGCAAGGCACTGTGAAAAGGTGAGGTCGGTGAGTTCGAGGCCAGCCTGGTCTACAAGAGCTAGTTCCAGGACAGGCTCCAAAACCACAGAGAAACCCTGTCTCGAAAAACCAAAAAAAAAAAAAAAAAAAAAAAAGGTGAGGTCGGTGGCAGAGAAACATCTGGAAACAAGAAGGCTCTGGCCGCCTTCTCTACACACTTCCCCTGGATCTGAAATGAGTCTGTTTTTGGTTATTGCCACAGAAAGTTGTTCAATGAGACACACAGGCACAGAGGAGCTGGGCCAGGCGGCACTTGCCTCAGAGCCTCCTGGTCTCTTCTCTTCCAGGATGTTTCCCTGACTCCCGTCCCACCTAGGGCTGAGAGCCGAGCCAGGACACAGGTGAGGCCTGGGTTCTGTCTAGTCCATCTCAGCTCCACGGTTTTCTTTCCCATATGCTAGCCCAACACTCTGGAGCCCTGGGGAGGGGAGAGAGCTGGACAGAGTGGGTGGTGTGCTGTAAAGGAAAAATCCAGAAGGTCCAGAGCTTCCTGGGTAATCCATAAATCCAATGGCCATGGGCCCTAGAAGGCAGTGATTGGAAAGAAATGGGCAAGGCCATGCTTGGAGCCTGGAAGCTGGGTCTGAGTCTTTGCCCCAGAAGTATAAAAAGTCTTTATTTCGTAGACATCAGGGCCACTTCCATAGTTGCAGGAGGAGGGAGATGAAAGGTGAGGGCTCCTCAGAATTGGGTGGAAGACCCCAGGGCCACAGTGCATCCTGTGCTCAGTTTGGCTGTGACTCACGAGAGCCGAGAGGGGCAGCTTGTTTCAATAGATCCCTGCAGGGCAGTGATGGGGTGAAGTGCCGGCATCAACTCTGTGTGCCCCATAGCCTGGGGACTGGGGCCATAGAGGAGCTTGTCACATGGGTGTGCTGCGGACCCTGCCCTCTTCCTCCAGAATGTTCTCGAAGGCATTCTTGTGCTCACTGGACCTGGAAAAGGAGGTAGGGCTTATGGAGTCATTGGCTTCCCTTCCCCCATGTCTTTCTCTCTTCACCATCCTACACCAAGGCCTTCTCTCCAGAATTAGCCTCTGGCTCCCAGAGAGGCAGGGGAGCAGAGAGTCCTTCCCCTGAGTGTATCTACACCTGTGTGCCTGCACTGGAGGCTCCTCAGAATCATCCCCACCCAAATGTCTTTCTCCTCGTCTGTGGTTTCTCCTCCTTAGTGGTTTCCCCATTAAGCCTCCCAAGAACTCCCTTCCCACAGAGTCTCCCCCGACTCACCCTTCCACTGACTTCCCTTTCCACATTGAAAACCTTCCCCATAATACCCTTTACCCTTCCCCCTGTCTGAGCCTTCTCCCTGAATCGAACCTTTGTCTCCATGCAGGATACTGTAGCCCTCACAGATCGTTCCTCACCTCACCAGCCCTTCCTCTTTGCTTCACACGCCTTTCCCATCTGCCCCAGTAGCGTCTCACCTAAAACCAGACGCCATTGAAGAGTATCTGCCGTCCATTCCCACCAGGACCCCGTCTGCCTTGCTTCCAACAATCATGACCATGTTCCCAGGCTCCCTGGAAATGAAGTTTGTCAGTCGCTCATCAATGACTGTCCGCTCCGCCCCATCTAAGAAGAGAGTAACCCCAGCTTTCCTCTGGACCCTGCAGACACCAGCTTTCCAGCTTCCTCCTCCTCCTCAGGCCTCACCTCCTCCTGCCTGATCCACCAGGAAAGTGGGGAACACAGGCGGTTGTAAGACACTTGTCCTAAGTCTCAGGTCTCTTTCCACTGCCTCCAAACACACGACCTCAGCCCCATCATAAACCCAACAGGACTCAGAGTATATCCCAAACCTGGAGATGTGGTTAGTGGTCTCAGAAGGCAGATACAGGACTAACAGCATTTCTAGCAATAAGCGCCCATCTTTCACCCCTCAGACTGCCTTTGTGAGGGTCCCTTATACCTACTGAGCTTCAGGTATATGTCTTCAGACATCCCACAGGCACATCATACCAGACATGCCCCCCCACCGAAGTCAACTCAGTTTGTTCTCAATGTCATCTGCTCAGGGCGGGGGCTTCAAGAGTCATCCCTGTACTCCCCCCTCTAGTGCCCCCTACTGCCTCCCTCTGTCAGCTCCCAGCTTCCCTCCCAAGCAGCTCTTAGATTCACCCATCCCTTTCTGAACGGCCTCTGTCCCCTCCAGGTCCAGACTATCCAGCCTCATACTCAGCCTCCTTTTGTCTTTAAACCTGCAGACTGCACATTCTGTGCATTCGCGTGGAACAGCCAGGACTCTCAAGGTCATCTCAACTACTGATCCCAGCTGCATTGCATAAAGCGCCCAGTCTAGATCACTGGTGCTGCCAGGTCCTACTGACCTCCTCGGCCTCACACTGGAACTCCCTGTCCGTCTCCACCCCTGAACTCTTTGCACATACTCTGCAGGCCTTGCAGGGCTGAGGCTGGGTCCCTGGCTATCAGGCCACCTCGGTGAGACCTGGGAAAGATCCCCGTAAGGCCGATGTAGCTTTACCCAGAGGGCTCTTGATCTCTATGCATTCATGCCTGGTACCAGTGCCAGGCCCCAAACTGGAACACCACCCCATCTTCTGACTGACTCCTTGTGTGTCAGGTTTTGGGGTAAACGTGCAGTCGGTGAAACCTTGCTAACCAACCCCCTTTCAACCCCAAGCCAGCTAGGCTGTGTCCCGCACTCTGCACTTTCTTTAGGCTGTGTTTGACTTGAATTGCTTATCCAGTCTGTGCGCCTGTGAGGCTCTTTGCATCACATGTGGCTGACCTTCCAAAAGGATGGGGGCCTTCTATTTCAGGAGGAGGGTCAGTCTCTCATCCCAACCCCCATAGGTGGGAAAAAAAATTGAGACACTGAGGAAAGAAGACATTTCTCCCAAGTTCCTGTGGGGTAGCAGGTGGATGGGGGAATGAGAGAGCCATGAGGTCAACAGACTGTAGGCCTGGGAACCAGACAGGCTGGGAGCTGGTTCTGTCACTAACTCTTCCTGAGAACCTGAGGACCAGTTAGTTTCCCTTCCTCACAGTGACAAGACTTTAACCGGAGCTCCTGAGGTCATCCCTTACTAGAATAAAAGCAACACCCTGAGCACTGAGGGCTTCTCAGCCCCGGGCCTTCTTCACACAGCACTCACGGCTCTTCCTGGCACCAGAAGTGGTTGACAGCAAAGGCGATTGCAACCAGGACCAGGAACACGGCCACAGCAATAAGGCCCTGCATCCAGGGCTGAAGGTTCCCCAGACCTGAAAAAGGAAATGGAGCTGCAGGGACAGGACAGTCTTGGGACTGTGTCAAAGGCCAACAGCCTCTGTAGGGCCAAGAGGGACATCTGAGTGGCTAGAGTAGATGTAAGTTAGGTCTGTCTACTCTCCTAAGTAGGCGAGGGAAGGAAGGGGGCTTAGAGCCTACTAAAGTCCGAAGGAAACCTAAGCAACCAAATAGGGAACACATGTCAGGGTTTGCTCTGAGGCCCTAGCTCCCAGGACCTCCTTCCTGCACACATGCCCCCTTCAGTCACATGCAGGCCCCCTAGGAAGTGCAAGAAAACAGGGACCAAAGGGCAGCTCCAATGACTGGCCTCAGCCCTGTCAGCTGGGAGTGGCCCCTCCTCCTCCCCCGCTGGCCCAGAGCTGCCAGGCTAAGGCTGGCATCCGGCAGATCCAGTTCTTGAGCATAAAGCTTCTTTGGGAAGATTAGGAGGGGTGAGATCTGCCCTGGGCTGCTCAGCCCTGGGCTCGGATGGGGGGCAGGGTAAGAGAGGTAAGATGGCAGGGGATGGTGGGCTCCAGATTGGAGCCTCTTCATCCTCTCCAGCAGCGTGGCCAGGATGCAAAGGTCAGAGAGTAGGTTAAGGTCTAGCCTTGTACCCCTTCTGCTTTTTCACCCGACATCAACCCCAACCCTTAAAACTTCTCAGAAGCCTCTGCCCTCGGGCCACTAGCAGCCCCAAGGAAGACTATTCTCCTCATTAGACCGAGGACCTCACTCTGAGCCTCAAGAAGAGAGAGGACAACAGGAAGCTTGGGAGAGCTTCAGACAAGACACCTGTAAGACTTGAGCCATCCTACGTTATGAGAAGCTGGGCGTCAAAAGGCTTCAGCTTGCCTCATTCCAAGGCCAAAGTCCTTTGAGTCTACTTGGATATCTTCTGCTGCAGAGAAGACTAGCCTAGTCTTAGTACTGTCTCTGAGGCTGGCAGGTGTTAGGAAAAGGGAGGATCCTGGAACTTTCTGGTTGTAGCCATGGCAACACTAGGTTAACAATCCCCGGGTAGCAGAAGATGCACAGTACAATTGCTCTGCAAGGGCCATTGTTTTGGGTTGCCCCCATCCCCACCCTTGCCAAGAAACACTGGCTCAGGTCCATCACTTCTTCTGGCCAATGATGCTCTGGCATTGGGAACAACCCTGGGAGGTCCCTTCCCCACTTCCTTCCTTGGTTCTTACAGCTAACTCCTCCCTCACAAGACACCAGGGACCACAGTCCTCTGCTCCTCCTCTTGTGGCTCTAGGGAGCAAGTGGTAGAGTCAAAGATGGAGAGGGGAATGGTCTGGGGCTGACCCATGTAAGTTACTAGACCTCTCTGGTACTTCAGTTTCTCAGAAGGCCTCTGAGACATAGGATTCAGAGGTGACACAAATATGCATGAGCATCTTCGCCAACCCCGAGACACTGGGTACAAAGCCCTCCCAAACCTCCAACCTGGCAGCAGCTCTGAGAGATGGCAGGGTGAGGTTTACTGAGAATGAATAAAAAGACTAAGACTCAGAGTGGGGCAGTGATTTTCTCAAGGTCACACAGCACAGCAGAAAGAGCTTGGTGAAGAGTACACCCATGGTCTGCTCCGGAGAAAGTGAGAAAAAGGGGGCTTGGGTCATCCAAGAGGCAGAGGCAGGCCATCTCAGTGAGTTCAAGGCCAACCTGGTCTACATTATGAGTTCCAGGACAGCTCAGGTAGAGAGACCCTGCCTCAAAACAAACAACAGCAACAGAAAAAGGACTTAGGCCAAAGCCAAGGACTCGGGACAGCTCCTGTACAACCACTACCCGTCCTGCCAAGAGCAAGCATTTGAGGGTGCCTTCGGACCACTCCCAGCCTCAAGTTCCTAGCCCCTGCCGTCAGTACCCAGTCATCTCTGGGTCCTGCTGTGAGGTTTGGATCTCAACTCCTGTCCCTCACCTAACCACCAGAGCCAACATGTTCCCTGTTCTCCCACTTCACTCTGGAGAAAAACAAATCTCAGAGCCTAAGTCAGAGGAGTGTGTCTGGCCCAGTGCCCCCTCCAAAACACTACGGTATTGCAGGTCACCACCCCGTCCCACCCAGGTCACTGTTTTCCCGACCAGCCCTCTCCTCTCTGCAGCCCAGGTGCTCCTGGCCTGTGCTACCTTGTTGACAGCTGGCAGGTGCCACTGCGGAGAGCAGGCCCAGTATGAGCAGGTTGAGGGCCAACATGGCTGTAGGCAGCTGTAGGGCCTTGGTCCACTGCTGGTGTTTGTACTCCGGGAGCTGCTGGAGGTCTGGAGTGTTCCTATGAGATCAGCTGGGGAGCAGTCAGGCTCTGAAGGAGAGGCACGGGATTGGGTTAGGCAGAAAGGGAGGGAGGGCAGGGAGGAAGAACTGGCAGGCTGGTGAAGAGAAACTGCCCTTCCTCCTTTGGAAATGCGCTGCCAGGCCTGGCTGATGCCCAGCCCAACAAATTGGCGCTTAAGGTACCCGTCAAAAGCCAGTTAAGGAGGTGGGCCTGTGAATTGGGGAAGTAAAGGGAAAGTCCCAGCCCCCTCCAAGATCCACACTACGTCAGAAGTCACCCTCAGCTCACCTTTCCTGGCAGTGGGGCTGGGCTCTCTGGGAAAGGTGTGACACACATTTTCAGTCTGGACTTGAATGGGCTCAGTGAGTGGGTGGGGCGTTTTGGAGGACTGACAGTGAGATTAAGATACTTGCTGGCTGGCTCAAGGAGTCAGAGGAAAAGCACCTTCGTGGCCAAAACCCTCAGGAAAGGCTCACCTGCCTGCTTTCTCCAGGGCTGTCTTACATTCACCTGTTCTGATCCACCACGCCAGACACTGGGTCCCACCCCTGAGATACAACCTCACTTCACAATCCCCAACCCTGACTAATCCTGTTGTTCCCCCACGCCTTTCTCATAGCCGGGTTCCACATTTCCAGTCCCCGGTAACCTGGCAGGAACCAGACAAGATTTGACTTGGTCAGAAGCCTCAACGCTTCAGATCCACCTCCATTCATCAGAGGAGGTTGTGCAGAACAGGCCCAGACTATAACCAGGAGTAGCCACAAGGTAGTTCTTCTGTCCTCAGACATAGACGCCGCAAGCCAGGCCCAGCAGAAGCCCACCCCCTACTCCACAAGACACATAGCATCCACCTGACCTTCCAGACACTAAGAATGACCCAAGTACCTACTGAAGTCTGGGGCTGAAGGTCATTGTGGGCATCATTGCCCCAGCCACCCCAGAATACAGGAGTTGAGATGCTAGAGCAGGATAGACCCACTTCCTAAGGAAGGGAGGGGAAAGGATTTCTTGGCAGTCCCTGTTGCTTGCACTGGTTCCTGAAAGGTCACTGCAAGCAGGTCTTCCCTGTGGTCACTCGGGTAACAGATCTTCTGCTGTCTTGGCTCCAGGGAGGTACTCAGGTACCTTTGAGAAACCCTAGGGCACAGACACATGTCCATCTGTCCTTGAGTACAGAGCATGGAGCCTGTGATCCAGGACCCACACAAGTCTACCATCCTGGCTTGATCGGGTTCAGAAAGGATGAGTTTGGAAATAAGATGGCAAAGAACAGGTGGCCGTGACATTAAACACCGGCAAAGGCACTGTGGATGGTACGGAGCCTGAACTCGGAGGACTTCTGCAGAACTGCTTGTCCTGAGTCACATTTGCCAGCAGGTCCTAGTTCCTGTTCAAAGAGAAAAGAAAAAAATCAAAGGAAAGGAAAGAAAGAAGGAAGGAAATGCTGGCAGATCAAGAGAGGCCCAGAAACCAGGTGGTGGTAGTGCTCGCCTGTAATCCCAGCATTTGGTAGGCAGAGGCAGATGGATATCTGTGAGTTTGAAGTCAGCCTGGTCTAAAAGAGTTAGTTCCAGGACAGGCTCCAAAGCAGCAGAGAAACCCTGCCTCAGGAAGAAGAAAAAAGGGACAGAAAGAAGGCCCAGAGATGACAAAGTTGGTGTCCAGAGACAGGGTCGGAGGCCTGAGCCTGCTTCCTCTGAGTGTCTGCCTACTTTCATGCATGTGAGCCTGTGACCGTGTGACAGTGGGTTCTTCTCCAAGGGGCCGTAGGGGAACTCTTCATGGGCTTGAGCGACACCATCCGTACATGTGTAACCTGTTTTTAACATGGCCTGAGGATTTCAGGAGCACTCAGGAGGAGGCATGACAGGCATTAATGAACAACCAGGGAACCGCTGGTTGGAATGAAAGGAATGGGGCGGAATTTAACAAATATCCACCAGGCCTTCCTCAGTGGTGTAAAGCAGGGGGCAGGGGACCAAGGTCAAATCCTCATCTGAGAAAATGAAAAGGTTATTGTAGACGGGAGAGGCAGACTTAGGGATGCAGGTCCTGTCACCACTGACTGAGCTGCTTTAGATGGGGCTTTGAACAGGGCTTGGGAGGTGGAAAAACCAGGGAGGGTGTGGGCACGTGACTAGCTGGAGAGGAGAGTGAGTGACTCTCAGGTTAAGTTTCTGAATTGGGCAACTGAGTGGGTGGCAGTGTCTCAAGGTGGGACACGTGACTTCCCCAGGATGCAGTGTGTGTGTGTGTGTGTGTGTGTGTGTGTGTGTTGAATTGAGAGATCAAACACAGGTGTTTCAAAGAAAAAGGGGGCAAAATGAAGCAGGAAAGTGAAATCCCGAAATAGAGGGATACTCCAGCAGCCGAGGGCAGAGAGATCCAAAGAGAGGTGTGCAGAGAGGTTTCTGTGGTGGTACCCACTCACTAGCTTATACCCTCAGGGAATACCCCAGCCTCTGGTACCAGCATGGGAGACCCAGTCTCGTTCCCTAAGCACCCCAACTTCCCTGAAACCCCAGCAGAAAGCAGAGACTCCCAGAACTATACTTTGGGCACAGTAAGGGATGATGAGTAGAAAGGACATCAGGTGACCAAGGGAAGGAAACAGCTCCCAGGTCAAAGTCCCAGGCTTTAAAAGCAAAAACAAGTTGTTCCGGAAAGCGGGTGGAGGGATGGGGGTGGAGGGGACTCTTGGCTTTAAGGCTAGGTCCCTGATCCCTGGAAGTTCTCACTCAGGGAAAGGCTTGTCTCCCTAGGCTTATGAACAACATCCCTGTTTCCAAGGTAACAAAGGGGTTCCTGGTTGTCTGGCTGAATCTCAAAGTTTGGGTGGGTCTCAGCAGCTCTTACGGCTCGACCCTGGATCCTCACCTCGGGCAGCTGTTCCATCCCGCACTCGGTTCCCCCCTCCTGTTTCTTGCCCAGCTCTCATCTGTAATCATCTGGCCCCTAGATGAACCTTCCACCATCTAGAACTGGCTTATCCTCAAGAGCGCTAGTTTCCCACATCCCTCCCTCCTTTCTGTCCTCCCTCCAACATCTTTCCTGCCATTCTACCTACTGCCAGGAGGTGGCACTGTGTAGCTCCAATCCCAGGCTGTGGTACTGGCCGCACAGTTCACAATGGAAGATTAAAGAGCTTCCCTCTCTCTAGCCGCCCTGACTCCCATCCTTTTTCAAGGGTGGAATACAGGAAGGGAAAATGAACACTGACATATAACCAGTCAGTGGAGATGGAGACGGTGGCATGTGTACCTAGAGTTCTGATGTAACAGAAAGTGACTGAATCATCAAGGAAGGCTTCCTGCTGGTGATGCTCTGGCGTGGGGCGGTATAAGACAACGCAGAAAGATATGATGGAGACGGCCATACACCTAGAGTTCAGACTGAGAAAAAGCCGGGTGACACATTCAAGAACGGTGTTTGAGTTTGTTCGTTTTTGCTGCTGTTTTCCCCCTGTGGTACTAAGAATTGAATCGAGGGCCTAGTCCATGCTAAGTAAGCACTGTGCTACATTCCCAGCCCTCGAGGTGGACGGATGTTCAGCATACAAAGGTAAAAGTCCTCTTCACTCATCCTTGTGATATCCTTCCTGTTAATCTTTGCTGAAAGCCTGAACATTCCTGGAGACTGTCTCATTTTGGCCTCTCCTGGTCCATAAAATAATGTTCAAACTTCTGCCCAGGTGTCTGCCTGAGGGGCAGGGCAGTCAACCCTCCTCTTCATCCTCGCCTGGCCCAGGGTCTCCTGTCCCTTGACCTGATCCACACAGTACATAGTCCTCTGCCTGGAGTGCTCTCTTCAAGTCCCTCCTAGCAAAGTGGCCTCCCAAGTCTTGCTTTAGAGGTCGCTTTCTCCAGGAAGACTTCTTTGACGTCCGTCCCCTCCCCTCACCTTCCCCGGAGTCTTCTCTACTCCTCTGTTCACGGCTATTCTCACAAACTGAAATGCCATATGGTTGACATGTTTGTGCACCTATCGCCTGCAAGGACAGATCTCTCTCTCTCTCTCTCTCTCTCTCTCTCTCTCTCTCTCTCTCTCTCTCACACACACACACACACACACACACACACACACATACACACACTTTTATTTTGTTACCTCCAGCACACAGCATGAGCACAATGCCTACACCACATACTCACATACATTTTATGATATTAAATCAGAATATACAGTGCCTGGTCTGACAGGGTAGAAGGTAAAAGGAAGTGAGTGGAGGGATAGCGTGACTAGCTACAGGTGGGCCCTTTGTCTTCCGCTACTGCTAGCTCTAGGACAGTGGCCCCAGAATCTCTGTGGATAAGTGAGGGCACTTGGAGCTGTCCAGCCCTAAGGAGAGAATGTTTCCGAGGGAACTGAACTATGCCTATAGAAGTACCAAGGAAGGCAAAAGACCATGTCACCCACAGTCACCCATGAGGGTGTCTACAGAGGGCTAAGCTAGACTGGTTGGGGAATGGAGGCTCCTCTCCACGCTCAGAGCATTTCACTAACTTGGCTGCCTGCTGTTAACACTCCCTAAGGCTTGTGAACTTGGGCAGGGGGTACCACATCTGGCTTTTCACTAACCTGTAAATGTTGCAAGTTTCTTCCATTCGAAATAAAGACTGCAAACCACAGTCCTCAGATGCTGTCCTATCACGCCCAGCCGCTGTGGGTATTTGACGTATTTATTATTTGTGTTTATCAGTAGGTAACCATAGTAGTCAATGAAGCTTCCACAAATCCGGTCAAATGCATTTTTAAAGGTACACTTAAATTACTGTATCACAAACGTACCTTTAACATTTTGATAACTCTGTTTCAATACACTTTGCTTGCTGTTCAGTGATGTACATTTTATTAGATGCTTCTGAAAACATTTCATGGAGAAAGAGACCACAGGGAGCTAGCAAGATGGCTCCTTGGGTGCTGTACTTGCTGTCCAAGCCTGACGACCTGGGTTCCATGCCTGAAACCCATATAAAGGTAGGAGAGAACCATCTCCACAAAGTTGGCCTTTGACCTCCATATGTGCACTATGGTTTGCTCACCTCCAAATACACACCATGCACATGCACACCCCCCACACGCACACAAATAATAATAAATAATAATATGTAGACGAAAGAAGCGGTAGGCTTTCTTGAACCATGGCACAAAAGAGTTAAGGAGTCCTGACTCTTTGGTGAATCTGCTGCAGGTCTATTCGAGGCCATGCCATGTGATCTCAAGATCAGACTTGGAGAAAGGCTGGTGACTCTCTGGACAGAGGTTATCTGGTACCCAGAGGGAGCTATGATCCGGGCAGACAAGTACTTGGCCTCACAGGTGATCCCAA